GACTAAGGAAGGAGCCCGGTGGCAGGACACACTTCCCACTTATCTACCTCTCCCCTTCTCCTCTAGGTCCAGAGAGACTGCATCTAAGCCTTGGAGACCCAAGGAGCCCGCTCTCGCTCCTCCGTTTGCAACAAGGCCAAACAGCACGAGCCTGCAGCAAACCTCTGACTCTCACTTTGGACCTGCGGTCGCTTTTTCCCACCAATCCCTTCCGACCGTGCCAAAAGGGCTCCGTTTCCTCACGCCACCAGCTCACCTAACAAATCAACCCTTTCACCAGAGAACTAGCTCACACCAGGCAGAGAAAAGACATCTCGTGTGTTTGTTTTGTGGCTGCTCTTTCCTCAGCTTTCCACGCTGCCAGAAACAGATGCCTGGATTTTCACGGGTTGACACCTCTCGCTTTTCTCCTTTAATTCATGGGCAGCAAAGGGCCAGGAAGAACAAGAAGGAACTTGCCCGCAGTTGAGCCAAGGAAATCCGAAAATCTGCAGCTTCTGCCGCGCAAGCTTGCAGCGACAAGCCGCTGGGTTTCCAGCTAGAGGAAGCTGCTTACGGGAGCAGCCGCGCTGCTGCCAGCTCTCAGCTCCTAAACTCGATTCCTCCGCTCTTGGGCCGGTCACACACTGTGGGGAAAGCGGGATTGAACCATTTTCAAAGCATGTCACCATTTAGAAATGCTGATGAGCAGCACGTGCGAGGCTGTCGATACTGAAATGCGTAAGAAGGGAAGCAGGCAGCAGGGAGACAGGTGCTTACACCAGTCCTGGAAGCTGTCAATGTCAAACTGATAAAATTGTTGCTGCTGCTGCACTGTACTCACTACTGAACATTTCTCCACCGAGCTCATCCCTTGTTCTCACTCGGCACAAGAATCTAGGGAAGAGCAAACTGCCTCTTAGTATAAGCAACAGCCAAAGTTAAGAAAAATAATTAAAAAAAATAGGAAAAAAGCTTCTCTCATTCACAGCTACAAAGGCTGGAGGCAACTGCAGAATCATCCAGAAACTGAAACCTCCAAGGTCTCAGCCCCGACTTTGATTCTGGCTTACGCACAGCTGGATGCTTCACCCCTTCTGCGTGTTTTCCCACCCAGGGAAGGGGGATTGTTCGCTGCGACTTGCTACGTAGCAGTGGCGTGAGATTTAATTAGTCAGAACACCTTGAAGGCATGGCACCTAATTAATGCCTGAAGTGGCTGCGTGATGATTATGAACCGCGGCATAGCTCAGAGCTGACCATACAGCTCAGCTCTTCGGTATCTTTCCTTCTGGCAAACACAGAGCTGATACTCCGTATCAGAAATCACCCCGAGCGGTAGGTGGTTTTCGGCCTCGCTTCATGGATGGAAAAACCGAGGCCAGGTCTGATGGAGCCCAGAAACAATCACAAACCATAGAGCCCGGGAACATCCCAAGGCCTGGGAACTCCTCGCTTGTCGCCAGAGTGGAGCAGGGCAGCAGCCTGACGGTGCCATCGCACTGCCCCAAGATATTCTGGGACTGATGGGAAATGCTCAGCCACAGAATCACGGAATCAGTCTTCAGGGCTGGAAGGAACCTTGAGAGATCATCGAGTCCGACCCCCCTGCCAGAGGAGGGTCACCTAGAGAAAGGTGAAAAAGTTCTGCCTAATGCTTTTGTGGAACCTGTGCTCCAGCTTGCACCCGTCACCAACACATGCACTCTGTGCAGCTGTTAATTGAGTGGGCTCCTGTAAGCAACCACAACGTTGGAGCTTTAATGGTGCGAAGGAGCAAGCAGGATCGCTTAACTAACCTCTGATGCACACACACACACACGATTAACGTGGTACCTAACGAGCGGAGCCGGGACAGCTACAGGACCTACGCGTCAGCGCAGCCTGACGCCGTACGCTCCCAGCCGAGCAGCAGAAGCTGCTTCTACACACACAGGGAAGCTGCATTTCCCTCGGTTTAGCAGCAGCAACCACCACCAGGCTGGCCCCATCCTCGGGTGATGGAGTTGAGCAGCGGTATTTCCAGCACGGAGGCCCCTGCAGATACCCCGAGCTCTCCAGGGGTAACCACCCCCGGGGCTCACCCAAGCAAGGGGCGCTTCCACCTCACCAGCCCGACAACAAACGGTCCGAACCGACTTTGCAAAGAGCTCTCAGCAACAGGGAGCGGAAGGGTTGGGTTTAACGCTCGTCTTTACTTCCATTCTGTCATGCCTTCAGGAGACCCAGGAACACGTTTTACCCACGTTGTGAAAGGTAGAGAGAATGAACTATTAAAAAAACAGAAAGAATTCTCCAGAGCCTTACAGAACCGTGACAGTTGAGATCCACAGGCTCTGATGTCTCATTGTGTCCCGGAGTTGGGTTCCGACCTGTCTCACCTCTGGAGAGCAGAAGCAGCAAGCTGCAAAGAAAAGGAAAGAGATTTTTTTTTTTCCTGTTTGCTAAAGGAGAAACTCCACGTTGAGCTCCTCTTTAGCATCCCAAGAACCGCAGAGAGCTCTGTGTTAACATTATTTTGAGCTGTATTTGCAGCAACATCCGAGGGACGCGAAACAAACCACAGCTGGCTGTTGTGCCAAAGCCAAGCAGAGCTAATTTCGGAGCTCCCCCGTTTCCGAGTGGGACGCACCGATACGAGCAATGGAGCAGTACAGACTCACGAGGCAGATAAGAAGTCATTGTACTGTCAGATACACACAGGCCCAGTTTGCAGGGCTGGAAAAAAAGACTGGAAAGAAGAAACAAAATCAACCCACAATCTTTCAACAAGCCCGAAGAATCCCCCAGGCAGGTGCTGACCTATCACTCAGCACATACGGAACATGAACCAGGGGCCCTTTGAAGAGAAAGGTCATCCTAGATGGGTGCAGGGCACATCTCCTGCGTGGAACTATTTGGGTCGTCCACCTCCCTGGCAACTCTTCATCAAATTTTTTTTTCCACAGGCAAGTGTGTAAAGACCCAGAGGAAAAGGAACGGCGGAGAAACCCTATTCATCCCTTTAAAACTGCGCCCTGGAAAGATAAGCCCCGGCCTATTTTATAAATATTTCAAAGTTCAAAGAAAACAACGACTAATATTGACACAACCCAACCGAAACATGGTGTGGGGCAAGGCTGGAGGTTGCACGATACGCCAGTGCCACCAGCAGCACAACGCGGGAAAGAGCAACTTCGCGGAACCCGACAGAGCCAGCCGGGTGAGCCGACAGCCCTGGAGTGAGCGGAGCTTACGCAGAGATCACAACGAGGTGCTTCGTCACCAAAGGTGATAAGTGTTATACATCGAGCTGCAAGAGAGACCAGGCACTCGAGGGAACCCTCAGGAAAAACACAGGACACATCGGTTCTCCCCTCGCTCAGGGATAGTGGAATCAGGCCAGACTTCAAAGTCATCTTTAAGAAATTCAACAGCCACCGCCAGGATCAGCGCGTTTGTCCGCAGCAGAGAAGCTCTCGGGACTGCTGGTGGGAGTCCTAAATGTTTTCTGGGCAGCAGAACACTGGGAGTGACATTGATGTGAAGAGCCTCGAGCCTTTCCATGCCCCTGCTCAGTCCCTTGAAGCACATGTGTGCCCACACATGGGTTTTTTCCACACGTCTGCTCGTGGATCGCAGCAGTTTGTCATCCAGCCGGGCACAAGACTCACAGGCTTCACTCTTTCATCTGAGCTCACTGTGCAGGAAATCCAACTGTGCGTTTGTTTGTTTTTTTCTCTCCTTCCTACAAATTTTTAAGAGCCATCAGCTACCCCTTTCTGTGCATCTCAATCTACCCAGGTGACATTTTCCACTTGTTCAGCCAACACTGTAGAAGTGTGACTCCTCCTTACGATCAAAGCTAACAAAACCACTAAACTAAAGCTAGCAGGGATACTAAACTCAAGAAAAGTGACATTAAAATAAGACATTTTGCTCCTTCTCTTCCTAGATTTTACTGGAGGAAAAAAAAAATCCAACAAACAACCCAGTGAAAGTTGTAATTCTTTAACCTTGGCCAAACATAGTGCCAAGCTTATCAAAGTTTCACTGGAGCCAGTAAATACAACGAAATCATGAACTCAGTTACCTGGGACTGCTTAGGAGCTGGAAACAACGTGAACCAAAAAGAAAGATTTAAAAAAACAACACAGTATTCACAAGAAAGTTAAGTTATTTTTATTTCCAGCGCGCCATTACAAAAAGGATTGCCTCTGTTAACGCACGGAAATGAGCGCACGCCCTACAGCAGGAACCCCTTGAAGAAAGTAGGAAAATGTTGAGGATCCCTGTGTGACCTGCTCTGGGTGATCGTGCTCTGGCAGCGAGGTTGGACCAGATGATCTTTTGAGGTCCCTTCCAAGCCCCAACATTCTGTTCCCCAAAGGAAACCCACCTGCAAAACCACAGCGCGGCCGAGGTCACAGAATAATTTGCATTGGAAGGGACCATAAAGCTCATCTCATCCAAGGACAACCCCAGTGAGATCAAGCTGCTCGAGCCGTGAATATTGACGGGGAGGGGGCTTCTACCACCTGTCTGGGCGAGCTGTCAACCAGACCCCTCGGCAACAACCCAACTCGCTCGCTCGTAGCTGGTAAACCAGGTTATGCGTTTTCCAAGAGCTATTTATCCAGAAAACACGACGAGAAGCAGAACAAAGTGTGTCGCACGGGTCAGTAGAAACGTTCCCTTCCCTTGAAAAGCTCCAGGGACCAAAAAAAGGCATTTTCTCTCTTCTGCCAGGGAATACTCTTGACACATACAGAAAGCAGGTACGCAGGAACTGATTTCACAAGCACTTTCTAGGCACAGCGATAATCTCAGAACCCACCAAGGTAGGTTAAAGCTGCCACCGCATTTTGCAGATGGGAGGAAAAAAAGGTAAAAAAATATATCAAACCGACATTGCTTGGCTCAAAGCTCCTAGGGAGGTCAAGGTCTGCTCCCAGTAAGGATTTAGGAATTCCGGGATCTGAGTCTTGAAGCAACAAGCACCTCCTTGTTTGCGAATTCACGAAAGAGAGGCCACTTGTCAGTCACCGAGGCTCCTGTGCCGAAGTCTCCCTGCCCTCGAGATTTGAGCTGGTTGATTTAAAAAGCAAGAGGCTCCTGTCCCAGCTGGTGCTCCCGAAGCAACGCACCAGCTCCATGGCGCAGTCCTGTGTCAAGATCTGCGTGATCCTCTCCGCCATGTCCCCGTTGATGGCGAGAGATCGGAAGTGATCAAAGTCGTTCCTGCCCAGCTTGCGCAGGCGGCGGGCGGCCGCCCGGTAGCACTTCCAGGGCTGAGGTTCGATCAGCAGGTACCTGCACCGAGAGGAGAGGAAGGACAGGAACTCCACCAGGCCAGTGTCGCCGTGATTCAGGTGGATCCACATGGTCACCGACATGCAAAACACAATGTCGAAAGCAGAACGGCCAAAACGGCCCAGGAAGGAGCTCAGGAAGGGCTCCCTGGCGCCTGAGTCCATGATGTCCAGGCTGGCGAAGGAGATGGAGGCCGGGAAGGGGCTGCACTGCTGAGCCCTCTCGATCAACGCCGGGTCGATGTCGCAGCACAGAAGGTTCAGATCCTTTCCAGCTGCAGGCTGGTCCAGGCTGCCTTCGCTCTCCTGGAGGCCAAGGAGATGCCTGTACAGAGCCACACTGAGCTCCTGCAGAAAGGAAAACAAGAGGGGTTCGCGGGGCCTGCGCCGCTTCACGGACACGTCCTCAAGCACACTTGCAGCAGCAAGGGACAAGCGCCAACTCGGAGGTTGCTCAGGACAATAAGCTCCCCAAAAACCCTCCTCTCCGGAGCATCACATTAGTCCCGACTATGAGAAAGTCAACCAGAGGCTGGAAATATATCTATATCACCCCACACTTGGGGTTTTGCTCCGAAAAAACTATGGGAAAGGTGAATTTTAATAAGGGGAATCTTGCTGGATATCCTCACGCAATGTGGGGGTGAAGGCTTCAGAGTTCAGTAGCAACACTCAGAACTGTTTATGACACCTAATGAAGAGAAACACATTTCTTCTTCTTTATACGGAAAAAATTCTTCCCCATGAGAGTGGTGAAGCTCTGGCACAGGTTGCCCAAGGAGGGTGTGGATGCCCCATCCCTGGAAGGGTTCAAGGCCAGGTTGGACGGGGCTTGGAGAGAGAGGTGTCCCTGCCCACAGCAGGGGCTGGAACCAGATCACGTTCAAGGTCCCTTCCAACCTTGACCAGTCTAGGATTCTGTGATTCTCCTGCTTCTAAAAGACATTCCCTGACTACTAGACTGTCAGATAAGATTGTTCACATGAGAGCTTTCCTTTGAGTTTCTTGGAATAACACCAGGCCTCAGGAGAGATCAGAGAAAGCAGCTCCATGGAGGAAGACCTCGGAGTCCCGGTGGGCAGTGAGTT